AAAAAAATCTCTTAAAACTTTCTCATCAAATAAAAACTCCTAAAACACTCTTGGGTAAGATACAAATCCATGTTTAATATATAAGAGTTGATCAACATTAACTTGAATATATAAATCATATTTAAAATTTGTATAAACAAATGTTTTTAAATATATAAATTATATTTTGAATTTATGATAAATATATTGCAGCATAATATTATTTTTATTTATTGATAACTTATTTTAAAAGTATTAAAATTTAATTTGTAAATAATTATGATAAATGAAAACTAAATTTGATAAGTTAAAAAAAATATCTCAAAATCCTCTCGTCGAAGAAAAAATCCTAAAAACATTTTCGCCCAAGTAAGGATGGTAAAATAGATTCGAACCCTACAGGTACCTGCAAAAAATATTCTCATGCAAGGTGGGGAAATACATGGTTATATAGGGATGAGTATAGGGCGTGGTATAAACCCGCTAAATTTAGTGGGTGCGGTTGTGGGTATGTACGGGTACTATGATACCCAACCTGCCCACTCCACAATATATATATATATATATATATATCAAACTAAAGTTAAGGGAATAGTAGAAAATTCAACTTCACAAACAAATGTCAATGATTCAATTTTTGATAATCTAAATATTAACAATTTTCTTACTAATTATGACTCATTTGTGAATGATATTAATTAAAATAAAAATAAAGTCTCAAATAAAGCTTTACTTCAAAGAATAAATTTTGTCTAGGAGTGCTATTTTTGACATTCATGGATGGTGGAAAATCAATGGAATCAAGTATCCAATTTCACAAAAAATTTCTAAGGATAATTTAGTAATCCTAGTTTCAATCATAACTTTAGAATTTGCATTTAGCACAAGAGGTAGATTTTTGAGTATCATCATTCTAAGCTCCATGAATTTACTATAAAGACACTTATGTGCACACAAAATTAGTTGAAACACAAGTAATAAGATAATAAATAATGAGGTCAAATATCTATATATTTGTTTTTTTTTTAAATATATAGTATATAATTTAATCTATAATTTTAATCTAACTAATTTCTATACAATTTTTTTCACAGGTCTTGAAAAATATAACACATAGTTATGATGTTGGAAGTTTAATTATAATTTTTATTATGTTGAATTTTTATAAATTTTATTTACAAGAATTGAATATTTTGTAATCCTTATTTATAAGAATTGTAATATTAAAGAGCCGATGATAAATTAATATTATGTTTGTTTATGTGAAATGTTATCTCTTTATTGATTTGTTTATTTTATATATAAGAGCATCTACAATGGGAGTTGCTTATAAGCAACTCCCAATCACTTTAAATGGGTCCCACTGTGCCACGTCACTCATAAGCAACTCATACTATATTTTTACAATTTTTGCTCCAATGGGAATTGCTTATAAGCACCCCTACTTTTTTACAACTCATACTACACTTTTTGACACCTCACACTACATTTTATGATATTTTTATAAAATTAATTATTATAAATAATATATAAATATAAATAATTAACAAAACAAATTACATAATTAAAAAATTAAAATAATAAAAAAATA